ATGAAAATACTCTGCGTAAAGTTCATTTAACGAGGGAAAAGCTTTGCGAATATGTGTCCAAGGGGCACTGAAAAGGATTTTTAAGAGCTAAAAATATGTTAAGATTAATCGCGGACAAAAACTGCATCAGACCGGTTACGATAAGATTGATCTGTGATGAAGCCAATTTTGGCTCTTCTCGACCCTCGTCCTTTGTTAAGGCACCGCAAACACCAACTTCGAGTTAAACGTTTTTTCGCTTTTATATACATGCCTGGATAGACTGAATCGAGCTGAGTAAGAAAAGGTTGGTTTTAACTTTTAAGAATAAATTCTAAGATCAAAAACTTGAGAAAACTTGAAGTGTTGCTACTGAGATATGAAAATATTGAATTAAAAAAATGAAATAGCTGAAAACAGTGTAGTAACGAAGCCCGTTATGGATAAAGATGGTACTCCATATTTGTCGAGTATGGCGTTAGTATTTACCATTGATTCAAATAGACAAACAAATAGGAACCGCTAAAGAAATGAAAATTCTGATTTAGTTTCATGGTGTTCATTTATGAATCAAAATCAACGTGTAATGCACAGTGTAGCTGGATCACCATTGTACAATGAAGGTGGTGATTTTTTGTATTTCATTACAGCTGTACATACGTACACCTTGAATATATGATATTGATTCTATTTAATAATGATATAATTTTTCAGAATACTGTACATGTCTTAGACGTATGTATGATGTACCCTTGTGAAATGACTTTGTCTTTGCATAATGAACTCTTCTTGAAATTAGATGTTTTATTCACTGGACTAAGTTCTTAAGGGCATTAGAAAATTCAATGGGTGATGTACTTTTATACCAACTGTTTCCTCTAAACGTCTTTAGAGAGTAGTGGTTCAGTAAAACTTTTACGCTAAAGAATGCTTTTCATTTGAAATGTTTTGTTCCTTATCACACGGTGTTTCAAAGATACATAAAATTGTGTTAAAAGAATTGCTCGGATTCTATCTCTATTGAGCTACAGATTAAGCACGATTTTCAACTTCTCTCTAACTTCCCTAATTCGTTTCTTTAACATTCGGATTTTTAGAAAACGGAGCTAACAATTCCTGATATATGTAATACTGTTTGCTTTTATTTTTAATGAAATTATTTTTGAATGCATGGATTTGGTTGTTAAGATTAAAACAGAATTATCGGTCTATTTTTTTTCGGTAAATGAATGTCTCTTAATTGCCGTATTTTATTGTTGGTTTTTATGCTAATTTGGGCTGATTATTACATAACTACTTTCACTTCTGTATAAAAGAATTAGCGTTCCGTCATTCAGTTGACTTTATTGCTAAAATAGCCATTTGACTTCATTAGGCACTAATAATAAAACGTATATCTTCAGAATTTTTGAGTTATGTTTTGCAAATAAACGATAATCAGTGATGGTGAAGGCTATCTATACAGACATTAGAGAGAACGAAAGTCACTCAAGCGGTGTATTATAGTGATACATGTATAGAGTATATATTTCAATAACCTCCAAAAAGAGAACAAAGATAGTATTTTTTTCTTCTAATAATCATGGATAGTCTTCGAGCTGGTATTGCTAAAGTACAAGAAATTAGTGATAAGAACAAAGTGGATGCTAATGAAAAGAAAGCTAATAATCCCAATTTACCGCAGGACGTTAGAACAGAAGCGGCATTAGATGCAGAAAAATATAAAATTCATGAAGAAAGACATGCAAAGAAAGCAGACTATTACGAAGCAAAAGGAAAACAAGAACACACAACAGATAGAGTTTAACAACACAAGTTATGAACGTACATTAATTTCAATCACATAAGTATTAGTGATTTTATTGTATTTTCATATGTTTTCAGTAACTTTTTTAATGTGAATAATAATAATTATTAAACAAAAAATAGCCAGTTCATCTAATCTATTCAATTGTGATAGATGTTGGAAATATTACACTTGAATTACTTGACTGGTTTTGTTTTGTTAGTGACTTTCGCGAAAATAAAAGCTACAGTACTGGGAAATAAAAGATAAATATAAATAATGGATCATTACACGTATACGAATTCTCACCTAATCAGCAGTTATATTAAGGTTAGCTTATGCATACCCTAAATACCTAAGATACCTATATGAAAAAAATGTCAGGAAAATGAGTT